TGCTAAACAATTTTCCTTGGCTTCAATAAGAGGTCATGAACTGCTTCGGAGCCTTCACAATTTCCAGAGAACGTCACAACATATGTGTCCCGCCGCACATTACTGGGATATACACCCCAATAAGGTCAGCCGCTATTTGAAAGCATTCTATTTCTCCGAAGGCCCATTAAAAAAACTCTACATGCCGGGCTGCGCCATTACCATCATCCTTCATTTCGCCTCGCCCATCAATTACTTGCGAATGCCGTGTGCCGGCAGCACAGTTAGAGCAGAATGACTCTCACAATGCTTTCTTTTTTTTTCCTTCCCCCTTTCTCGCACTACGTAGGATTCGAACAAAAAGGCGGCACAGGGATTCACGCGAGAACTTCAGAAGGAAGCATTTGATGGATGACGACTGAGCCAGCCATCCTTCTTTTGGGATAATTTCCTTCATGCCTTAGAATAAACCGATCCATAAAAAAGCTCACGCCCCTCGGTTTATGCCGGTGCTTTCATTTTTTAAAGTCTGATCCTTTCCACCAGTCACCCAGCCTAACTGGATTTCACGGACTTTCCAAGGCCATGAGTGAAAGGACATCATGAATGGAAACCCAACGAGATAAAATACGCAGTTTATTAGCATTTTTCATGACCGAGGTCAACAGTAAATAGTGATTTCTAATAGTTTACAGCCATTATCACACCTTATTGATCATGGGGGGTTGCTTGATCATACTTCACCACACTAGTCAGTGTGGGTTGTGAAGGCGAGCGGGGAGTCCCAGGCTTGGTGCATATATTATTCATCACCACTGCTGTCAGCCATAGCCGGGAATCCAACTCAGGTCGCGAAGTTCACACAAAATGCAGCGCACGAAGCACTGCACCACCGCTCCCACCCATAACATATCACACCAATCAATGAACACACACATCAAGTAATTTAACATTTAAGGAAGACAAACATTTTGTCTATCACAAAAATGACCAGGGGTGGGGGTGCTCATCTATGCGGTACCAAGCTTGTTGGAAATTTCAACATTCCTATGATCAGGGTCGGACCATCTATACAACTGTTGTTGACGTTGCATAAAGAAGTACACATGATCTACTGCAGGGGACGTAGAAATCGAGTGGGGCTTCGGACCTTCCAACTGTGAGTCGTGTCCTTGGCCACGCTGGCACTCGTGTCGATATGCTCAAGTACAAATGAGGAAAACAAATCGTAAAAGACGTTCGCTGCTCATAATGTACGTTTCATTTTTATTTTACTTACGATTAGCGTTACAAGTGTCTCCCTGTGCCGTAAACTGATCAACACTCAAAAGGCCACTGCCAAACTGTGGAAGAACATATTTGTAGTTTACAACAACTCAGGGTGCAAACTGTTTAATATAAACAAGCCACAAACTTTCATTATCTCAATGATACCTGCACATGTTGCTGCCCTTTGAGAGATCACGCAAATTATTCAACTGAATCACTAACTCCTTAAGATATCATGACCTGGGGCATCGTAGCGGGATATATCATAGAGGAGAGTTGGTGTTGAGGGTGGGGGGAATGGATGGGAATACTAATCTCTTTTTTTGCAGTGTTCACACTGCCTGACACGTAAATCTAGGACTACTAATTTTATTTTACCAGGTAAGGCCCAATGAGCTACATAGCTCTTTTTCAGAATCGACATGGCCAAAAATGATAGCTCAAAGTGGAGGCTTATCATTTGGAAATGTATAGCAGCCAAATACTCTAAACGCATGTTAATTCTAAATGTGGAGGGAAAAACTGGAAGACCCGGAGAAAAATCCATGCCACCACGAGGAGAACATGCAAACTCCAAATATACAGGCATTGGGGTTGGGATCAAACTCACGACCTCCTGCATAGCAGGAGAGGGAGATAACATCTCACCAAATGTAACATCTTCACCTCTGGCATTTATAGTACTAAAAAATGTGTTGGCTGTGTGATTGCCAAAGGGACTTTGTCCAACACGACTTCACGCATTGGCATTTCAAAACATTGCACATTCCTTTGCCAAATAATGCACAACATTCCTCAAACCTCCATCCCAAAGATTCTGCATCAGGCTTCAGGAGGCACAAACACAGTAGAAGGGTGTAAATAAAAGAGAAAAAAAACCCTGTAATCAATGAAACACTGCCTCAAAAACATTTCGTGCATACAAGGAGTCCTTGCTTAACGTCATCATTGCGTTCATGCAGTGAGACTTCAAGCGGAACGATGTAAAGTGAACCTATTTTCCCCATAAGATATAAAGTAACATCGAAGGTAATGTTCAAATGTACATTTTTACCAGACCAAAACGCAGTTATAACGTTGAATTACTGCAACTTAATATAAAAGAAATACGTATACATTTAAATAAATATTAATATAAAGAAATATTCATTTCAATAAGATAATGCTTACTACCAATTCTACCGATATCAAACACTTGCTGGCCATTTTTGTCTCATGGTTCAGAAGGAGTGTACCACAATAGCAAGATGAAACGATATCCAAATGTCGGTCCACACAATAATATGGCAAAGAATGAGATGGGGTTCAAGGGATGCTGGGACCTCGTCACATTGTGCTATGCGCGGCTACGCTCTGCGCCTCACAAAACGGTTCCCCCGTTGCTCGCGGCGATGATGTAAAAGTGAACGTCGTGACGTTATAAAGGAATATATTTCCGATTGTATTGGCGACGGTATAAGGAAACAACGTTGATTGAATCGACGTTAAGTGAGGACTCTCTATATATTCAATTAAAAGCAGGGCACACTGCTCTATTTCAACATGTAAGTCTTTGTCGAGGTTTTTGTTGTGTAAAAGCTGCTTCCTTGCACTTTTGGACCAGGGCCTCCCCACGCCGTGTGGGTCACGTGGGTTATTTTTTTGTTGTTATCATACTTCTCCACGCTGGTCAGAGGTGGCAGCAAATAATCCCAACAAAGCAATAGATTTTTTTTCCTGCACTGCTCTCTGCTGACCAGTACGTAGCACAGCCTTGCAGCAGCCTTTGTCAACCTAGAATGCATTGTACCAAGCACTACCCAGGCTCAACACCGATTAATCACAAAATAATCCTCTATACTTATCCGTGTGCACGAATCAGGAGCTGTTTGTCTACCCACTGCTGGACGAGGGCCTCCCCACATCTTGCAGGTCTTGAGGCTTATTTGGGTATACAACCAACCGTACTTCACCATAGCGGTCAGAGCACGATGGTGAAGACGTACTGCCCTCTACTGCCCACAATACCGATTACACTTCTCCAGAGATGCCCCATGTTGTAACCGCAACCCTCAAGAGCAAATGGTTATAAAAGCACATGGCATGCCTGATTAACGCGTACGTAAATAAGTGCAATCCCCTCCCGCCCACCTCCCGAAGATGTTTAGACTGAATGATCCAAATGAAAGCAAATCACCAAAGACCCGAAGAATAGCATGTGAAATGTCTAAAGCTGTCTTTGCCTGGCAACCTTGGTTAATAATTAAGAAGAAAGGCACAGCATCTTAATAAAGGGAAATTCGGCATACCTATACAATTGAATAAATGTAAATGCATGACATGGGTTGACAAGAAGCAGAACTGATGACCGGACCAAGATCACAGCACACGCACTCTACTTGAGAATATAATTTTAGATGGAACCTGGGGATTGATGGCCAGGACCTCAACCTTGCTTGGTCAAAATGCAAATATTAACAGATACAGTAACATGGGTATTTTTCCCACCACTAATTTTTTTGTTCTTTGAATGCAATATAGATCTTCTCCTGCAAAAAAAAAACACGCCTGGTCACGAATGGAATAGTACTTTTATATTTGGGATGTGATGGGATGGAATTTGGCTCTGGTAGATGATAATCAACATGAATCTGTCATTAATCATGATTCTACACTCAATTTACAAAAGCCATTTTCCCATCATCAATCTGTCATCTCCTTGTTTTTCTGCTCATGATTATCAGCCAAACACCAATCCATTGCTGGATGAAGGCCCTCCCCAAGCTGTCGCCATCTCTCAAGGTCCTGTGATGTTATAATCAACCTCGCACTCCACACGAGCCAATTTCATCGCTCCATCTCCATAGCAGATGTCCTCTCGCGCATGTTCACGCCCTTGGCCGCCGCTCCGTCATTAGTCTCAATCAACAACCCAGCCCCACTTTTACGAACAATTATAATGTCTTTTTAAGCAGCGTATGTATTAACATGTTCTTTTACGTCTCTGCAACCGCTGTTATATTTGGTCATTACTTCAACCTTCCTCTCCTCATCAATCTGTCTACTCCTTGCCTCTCTGCTAATGGTGCCCTTGCGTTTCGTTGGTCTCCAGAGCCATGATCCCACCTCCAATTGCCAGGACACGGTCACCACGCTTGGCCGACTTCTTGCATCCGCACTGCGGGCAGCCGCCACGCTGCAGGACTGAACATCGCTCATCTCTCCTCTCGAGCCCAAGAGGGGAGTCACCATGGAGGGATCGATGGGTGACACTCAGGTCGGCTGAACTGTCAAGACCCTGACCCTGATTACCCAGGTGAAGAGCCAACATCATGAATTACTCTGTCATCACTGCAGGAAGGGACATATCTCTTTTTTTCTATCCTCACAGAGCATGGCGTGGAACTCTCTTCTAATATGAACCGACTCAATTCAATCGTGTACAATATTAAATTACAAGCTGTCTTAGTGACTTGTGGGTAACGATTAAAAAGCATATATCCAGGCAATGGTGTTTCACTAACTAAAAAGCATAATAAAGTATAATTAAGTCCAGCAGCCTAACAGCCTTTTGGATCAATGTTTCCCAGGCGCATTTGTTTACACCAGCAAACTCTTCTTCAGTTGACATTCCGGATTCTCACCAGAAATTCGAGACGTGTGTCAATTCTCACTTCGCATCCACACTCCAGTTCCTCTGTTACCGGTGCTGTGTATTAAAAATCATACGGCCTCTGCTTAGCAACGTCAATGATAAAAGCGCATGCACTTACATCACTTCAGCTTTGGATGCATTATCCAGTAGTCCTTCCACAGTCGTGATTTGACAGAAGCTGAGGTCCAGCCTGGAAATAATGAAATGGCAATAATTATACGGAAACGATGATAACATTCACTGTCCACCCCAACTTTACATCCAAATCGCATAACTTAGAGCCACAAACTAGCAACAGAGACGATGCTATAAGATGAAGAAAACAGACCGACAGAATAATCACAGAGAATCACTCTCTAGGCAATACTCTCAAATTGGTCTCCGATGGATTCTTGAGATAAAAATATTAAAAATAATGGTCTCTTAATTGGGTAATTAGATGTGCCTTGCGGTTTGTTACCTAAAATCATCATTTGAAATATGATTACAGTGCGATTTTCAAACAAAAGACAAACAGGTTTCTGGTGAATTATTTTGCCGATAAGATAACAAAGGTATTCATATTTTAACACATTTCTTTTGCGTTTTTTCTTTTTCCAAAAATGTTATCCCAATGGTACCATTGGGTGTCACATCATAAAATGAAGTATTCATTCGGACCTCTCGCAGCAAGTGGATATCACAGAGCTACCTCCGAGATCCTTTGAAGTAATCTGTGGTCCACACGGTATGCGGAAGCACTTTCTCACCTGCACCGCTTGAGAGTAATGTTTGAACCCATGACCAGGGATCCGGCAACCAAAATAACAAGAGCCATTTTTTTCGAATTCGGTTAAAAAGCTCAATATTTCAAGAGCCGCAATGCACTGTGGTGAATACGAGACGGTGGTGGTTAATAAATAACGTCATGAAGCAGCAGTCCTAAAACAGCCGCATTAGGCTCTGGAGCCTGAGGTTGCAGACCCCCGTCCATGACAGTCAAACCGACATTTTTTTTTCTGAGCTGGAATCTATCCAAAATAAGTATAGAAGCAAATGCAATGTGATGGGGTTCTTTTGTGTCCAGTCATTGGTGACCGGGCTGAGACCAACTCGCTACACTTGAGAAGCCGGTCTAATCGCTTCGCACCCAGAATCCCAGTCACGCCAGATCAGCGCTCTGATGTCTGAACCATCCAGCCAACACTGCTATGAGCTCAGTATAGCATGTTCTCCGATAACGTGGTAGTTGCTTTCCTGAAGAAAAACGTGTTATGGAAAAATTGCGTTATAATATATATAATATAGGGTAAAGCACAGTCCGCGATATCACATGAGGCGTATGCAGGCTGAACAACGACTGAAGTGCGTGGGTCGCATCTAGAAGCATCCAGCAGCATCCCGCCGTGTGACGCTACGCCGAGGCAGCCGTACAACTGCTTATTCCTACTCGCGCGACGTAGTGCCGTTCACTCCATCACGTTATAGCAATTCGCATCTGCATTATAAAAAAAAAAACGTGTTCCCGAATACATTCATCGCGTTATATCCAATTCGCATTATGAAAACGTGCGCTACAGGAAAACATACTGTATTAAACATTGACAGCCACGGACTCACCCCAAGACGGTGTCATGGATGTCCCCGGCGCTCAAGCAGCACCGTCCGCTGAGTCTGCGCGCCAGCGTGGCGTTACAGAACCCAACCACGGCCGAGGACGTGGCCCTCCCGGGGCACCTCGTGCACACGGCGAGCGTCTGGACCGACACAAATAACAGAACACAATTTTGCATCAACTCAACGTTTATCTCTTTATTAAATGTTTTAATCGCAGTCTAGTTTTGTACGTGCGGTTTCGAAAAAAATAATGGTAGTATGGGTTCATAATAAAGGTGTTTGGGTTGGATCGCGTTATTTATAAATGTGTCGTTAACCGTCCATCACCCGACACGGCCAATCAGCAAAAAAGTGTCACGTTGACAAAAGACAAATAGTTCACTACTTTAGCCCACCGGTGTGTTGAAGAGTGAATCCACAACATTTACAGTTTGAGTACGACGTTTCGCTGGTAATTACATCCAGCATCATCAGGCAATTCGCTTCTTGCCAACGAAAACCTACCCACATCAACCAAGACATCAACAATGTACCGCACTGCCAACTAGAGTCCCCATCCCCCATCTGGGATCGCGCTGTCATCATCCTAGGATCTCACCCAGATCCGGAATAATGTTGTCGAACAGAGTATCGCAACGTGGACATCCAGAATAAATGCTGAATCCGTGACCCAAACATCGCACACCTCCTGGCTTTGAGATTCATCGACAGGCCGCTGCGCTGATCCCCTTCATGAATTGAGCGTTCGGACAAGAGATGCACTGAGCTAATGGTCGTGACATCATTGCAGTGGACGGGTACCGACTTAAGGTCTGTTACGTGCCCCCCAATTAACAGACTCCAACATGACACGGTTGGGTTTATCCTGGATTCATGAGTTTTCACCTGGGTGAACGGTTTCTCACCTGGTCAACTTTTATTCTCACCCGACTAAATGGGTTCTCAACAAAGCTCACATGCTTGAATAATTGCTCAACAAATCACTTGGGTTCCCGGTAAACACGCTCACGTTGGGCCAGCGCTGGCATTAAGTTAGATCCGTCATGATCAAGCTGCCAAACTTTGGCCTAGCGTTGTAAAACAGCTCGTGCTGAACGCATGCTTCTGATAATAGCACCGGGTACTCGTGTCCAAACCGTTAATTCTCTTTTTGCTTTTGGCAATATTTTTGGGAGCTAAGTGCCAATGTGAAGAGCTCTGCTAGCTACGAGGGTCTTCAGGAGAGAGTTTGTGTAGTTTTGCTATTCATGCATTGAAATAGAGAAGACTACAGTGGTTTACAATATGGTGCATAGTTTGGGTTACATGGTCACACTGTGGCTTGCCAAAACGGCGTGGGGAGGACCTTACTCAGTGGTGGATTGACGATAGGGAACAGTGTTTTGCTCATCAGCTGACACCCTCTTCCAGCAGCATGCTCTGTAATCCACATGCTTACTGGTACCAATATGAAGGCCCGATACATGGACAAATTAAAATAGAATGCAACAATTGAATTTGGCCATGAGTAGATGTAACTGCTCGGGGACGAAAGCAGGTCGATGTGAAATAAACGTGTGCTTGAAAAAGGTTTCAGCTTAAAAGAAACTCGGCTCAATCCATTTCAAACAACTTCTCCTTTCACATGACAGAAGGGAAAAGCTAACGTTTTGAAACGTGTTATAGTTGAATGCTAAGTTATTTCAAGGAGACGGTAGACGCTGTACGGATTGCAGCGACAACGCCAGGATGTGCGTTCGTCGGTGAATCATTTGACGGTTCTGACTTCACCACAATCGCAGTACGGCAATTATTTGATCATCCATTTGCGGAAGGTGCACGCGCATCGCCCATGCTGCGTTCGAGTGCGGTTTAAGCGAGGTCCACAACCCCTAGCACAATACAGAAATACACGGTTATTTGACGGACCATACATATCATATTAGGCAATGAATCTGCTTAGTTGACTGCCCTTTATTATTTTTTGGGAGTCACAGCTGCCTCAGTTTTTACACATAACCTCAGGACAGCCTGAAGGAACGCGTATAAGCAGAGAGCGCAGCTCACCGCAGCTCAAGCCATTATCATCATACACGACATGCATGTAACCATTCACCACATAGTGTGCAGTTGGATGGATTGTTAAGTTTCAGGATTGTGATTCAATTCAGTTCTTCATTTGCATTATCTCATTTGTACTGTTATTTTGTTTGGTCAGTCTCAATTGTCCAGTTTAGTTTGCTTTATTATCTGAAATGTAAACATTTGCAGGTGAACTGAAAATGTTTGCATCAGGACAGCAGGTCTCAACCTGTGGGGCATGCAACCCAACGACCCCTAGAAAGGTTATTATGAGATAGGGAGTAGAGGTTGTGGTATGGGGAAAGTGCAGGAAAAATTGTGTAGGTTTATGTGTGGGGAAAGTCAATGCCAAATTGTGATCTCTCTGTATTGAGGTCATAATAAAATTATAAATATTGAAGTGGTGGCAGGTGGGTGGCATGGAGACAAAGTGGTCTTCGTTGACATGCCACTACACCAAAAAGGTTTAGAACCAGCGTTTTAGAGTAAAACAGTTAAATAAAAATGTGCAGTTAATTTGTAAACCCATTTCCATAACATATAAATGTGACCGAGGTTTTGCACTAGCTTCTCATGAACCTCAAAGACCTCCTCCATCCCGGCAGCAGCCTAGCACGCAGCCAGTGGCCCACAAGCTTCATTGAAGCCCGCAACCTCCTTCAGCACGTACGTCACCAACAAACTTGCCACCACGCCATGGCCCCGAACCCCCCAACTCATCCTACTACATTGCAATCCTTTTATTCTTGCCGATGCTGCCGAAGGATGTCTTCGCCCTAATCCAAACTATTTACGTCTGGTCGTCTCCTATGAACACCCTCACAAGTTCCCTATTCAAACAGTGTTCCACAGAACTCTCCAGAATTCTCGCCAATCTCACCAATGCCTCTTGCACAGTTGGCCATTTCCAATCCTCCTACAAAATCGGTCTAGTAACCCCGCTTGAGAAACCAGGAACTGTTGTTTTAGTCATCATGCGGCAATATATTGAAAAATATTGTTAGCTTTTTTATGTTTCTGACTTTTTTTACGAGACTATACTTTATAAAACAGAGGTATTGCCATTAAGCAGCAAATACAGGGTAAACAATGGCAAGCTTTGCTATAAATAATGCAAATAACTTTATGTATATATAAGGGAAATTTGTGAATGCGTGTCTGTTAAAAATGTTTAGCATACTTCCCAACATGCAACAAACTTGAAATTTGGCATTTGGGTAGCTTCCAGCAGACTGTACACAATGCAAAAAATATACAAATAGACTTTTGTATTTTGGGGGGGGGGGGGTGGGGGGCGCAATAATGCATGTAATATTCTGTACAGCAAGTGAATGGTGACGTCGCATCTGTGATGTCACCCACATGCGGCAGCGTCACGCAGTGTGCCTGCTGACGTCATGCACCCCCCCACCCTCCACATAGGCCGTGTATTAATCCAAGACAAAAATCCAAGTCTCGGGCGAAGCCGGGTAGTAAAGCTAGCTAAATATATAACAAATACTAATTTATAATGGATACTTTTCCTAAATTTGAAAGTACTCAAATGTAACGCTCATGAGAAATGGCGGAAATTAATAACTTTAAAAAAGACCTCCGACACAATAGTCCAACAGACAATTCTCTTCCCCGTTTCACACACGGAGTCTCATTTTTGCTTAACACATCATAGGGTGTCTGCCCCCTGTCGGAGAAGCAGGTTTTCAGGTTTAGCGAGATGTTGGTGTCGGCCCTGTCACCGATGACTGCACAACAAGATAAAGGCTGACAAAGCCTGGATCTGCTGACAAAAGTAAATCATTAACCACCCTTACCAGATCAGTCTCGGTGCTATGCGCTGGTCTGAACGCCGATTGAAAGTGGTCAAATAGATAGTTTGAGGACATGTGCTGATGTAAAGTAGTGACGTCCGCTCGGTCCAGAATCGTAGACAAATACGGTAGGTGAGATATTGGGCGATCATTTTCTGTAGTAAGCTCTGGCTCAAGAGCCGGCTTTTTAAAATTGGGGTGACCGCAGCTTTCTTAAAAATGTCCAGAGCTGTGCGGGTTTCAGAGGAACCTGTTGAGAAGACTGACGATGAACGGCCTCAGTATAAGAGAATTGTCCCATTACAGCCTAGAAGGGAAGGGATCCAGTGAACAGCCGGTAGGTCGAGAGACCGCAAATATCGAGATGAGTTCCGCAGCTGAAATTGCGGGAAACTCAGTCAACAATGTGGCCTCGAACTGAGCCAGAGGCAAGGAGGAAAGAGAGGGAACAGAGGGAAGAAACAGTATTTGGACTGGACAATTGAATATTTATCGGGAAAAAACTGTTTTGGATATTTCGTACAGAAATCAGCAGATGATTTCTTACTCAAAAGTTGACTGATACATGAAAATAAGGTTTGTTACCACTGTTTGCAATGCGACCAGCAATGTAGGTGGATTTAGCCAAGGCAATGTCGTTGATGCATCGACAATCAGAATCAGAAGATTTATTTATAGTGAAGCAATGCGATCAGCTATGAGGCTCTTTTTAACAAATGTTCAGTATGGGCGGGTAAGAACGTTACAACTAAACAATCCATAAACACGATGGGTGCAAACTAAAGCAAAGGTAAACAAATCACTTAAATAAATGTACAAATAAAACAAAAATAATTATTTTTTTCTTACCCAGGTAAAGCCCACTGAGCTATATATAGATTATTTTCAGACACGACCTGGACACAAATGATAGCTCAACGAAGTGGATTAGCACCGTGGAAATGTATAGCAGCCCCAAACACCATGAACGCACCTTGATTCTAAATGTGGAGGGGCAAAACCCGGAGGACCTGGAGAAAAATCCACGTGACCACGGGTCGGGATCGAACCCACGACCTCCTGTACACCTGGCGAGATAATTGCCATTCCTCTGATGAACGGGGCACAGACTACAGTGGTTTACAAAGTGCCACAGTTTGGATTGCATGGCCACAATCGCACTACCGTGGCTTGTATCTTCAATTGTTTCATTTCTCAAGATGGTGCGCACCGGGCCTGTTGATATTCCGATGGATATTGATGTGGAATCCCGGAATAGATTCCAATAATCT